AACCACATGTGAAGCTGGAACCTAAACACATTACCACAAAATAAGCATGTACTTTCTAAGGTTACTCAGAAACAGAACTCTTTCATCTGCTACTAAATTGGAAGTAGAATTTCAAGCTCAAAAAAGAGTGAAAATATTCTGACTAAAGTACTTAATCCTACCTTTTGGCACATCTTCACAAGATGAGAACCAGGGACTTCAGTATCAAGCCCCTACCATTACTTGTCTTCACAAATACCTAGAAGTTTTAATACATTGCAAGGCACAGAAAATTAAATAATTCAGACATGTCCTCATCTTAACTGGGGGACAATTTTGACTGTAGGAATGTCCCAAAGCCCTATAAATTCAATGCAATGAAGAAGAAAAAAGCTGGAAATTATCACCAGCTTTCAGTGGACTTCATATTATACTATTATTAGAAGCAGGATATTATCAAGTCAGATGTTGTTTATAGATTAAATACTACTTAGTTTTTCATGAACTTCAGAATATTAAAAAAAAAAAAAAAATGGCTAAAACCAGCTAGAGACAGAGATTCTGTTCGAAATTTAACTGATAATGCAAAAAAAATTGAGTGGTCACATAGTGCAAAATGCTTTAGCCCCCAGTAATTTTTTAAGCCAGGTGGCTTCTTAAACAGAAACCCAGTTTATATTCAGCTTCAGAAGAACCATAGAACCATAGAATTTTACCATAGATCCTCTTGAGAATCTCCATTCAACTTTTAAGAACATTTTTCCATAGATCTTCTTGAGAATCTCCATTCAACTTTTAATTTAAATTATTGTAAAGAGCAGAATTTCAAACAGCAGCATCCCATGGACAGTACTCCTGGTGTTCCAAAAACACACAATCTAAAATCAGGAATTGAGAAATTTAAACTTGTACAGAAGTTTTCCCAAGAACAGTATAGGAAAGTAGTACTGGGGTACAGTTTGTTTGCAAATAACACTCACTGCTCACATGAGACACAAACTTTTGAGAGAGGAATGAACAGCATAATGGAGAAGGGCTTTCTTTATCCTGTGAACTTTAAAGTCACTATGTAAACTTGGAATAATTAGAGATATAATAACCTCTGACAGGTTATAACTGCTAACCTCTGTGCTGCTGTTTAGAAGTATAGACACAGAATAATACCTGGATTTTGTCCCTGCTTTCCCTGTTCTCCCCTCACTTGATTTATAAGCTTTCTTTCATAGAATTACTGAATGCTTTGGGTTGAAAAAGACCATGAAAATCATCCGGTTCCAACCCCTCTACCATGGGCAGGGACACCTTCCACTAGACCAGGCTGCTCAGAGCTTCATCCAGCCTGGCCATGAACACTTCCAGGGATGGGGCATCCACAGCTTCTCTGGGAAACCTGTGCCAGGGCCTCACCACCCTCACAGGGAAGATCTTCTTCCCGATATCTAACCTAAACTTACTCTTTGTCAATTTGGATCCATTCTCCCTTGTCCCGTAACTAACTGCTCATCTAAGGAGTCTCTCTCCAACTTTCTTTAAGGCTCTTTTTTGGAATGCATGAAATAGAAGCCTCTCTGAGACCCTCAGAGAGAGAAAAGAATGCAAGGATTGAATTAAAGCTTTAGAGAAACTAAAACTAAACCCTTGAGGTACTGGAAGTCTGCAATAAGGTCACCCCAAAGCCATCTCTTTTCCAGGCTGAACACACCCAGTTCTCTCAGCCTCTCAAACCCATTTCCCTCATGACTTAGAGCAGAAATAGGTCTCTAATGTTTTCTGGCTTTGTTGCACTGTGGAGAAGCACCTTACAGAGAAGCAGACTTGTGGCATCTTTTGGGTGGATGACACAGGCCAGCTCCTGCTGGCCCACACTCACAGAAAAATCATCAGTCAAGTAGCATTTTAAACACTTCCCTCTCCCCATGGGAAGCTCAGAAAACTAAGTCTGGCAAAAACCTTGCGGCAGAGCAGAGATGTGGCTCAGCCACCGTGCTGCCATCGACAGAGCAGGAGTGGCACTGGCACAGCTCTGTCTGCCAAGCAACAGCCAAAGGAACCAATCTGACATTTTTGTTAGAGCAAACTTTTCAAAACAGAAGCTAAAGACTTTTTTTTTTTTTTTTTTTCCCATTTTTCTTTAATGGTGTGAGTTAGCCTGTTTCTTCCCAGCTGTTGCTGTTTCTTCATGGGAGCCCCTCCTTTCCACTGCAGGAACAAAGCTGAAGTATTTTGCTTTAGATCCTAACAGATCATGAGAGCTGTATTTTCTCAGCTCTCTCTCCTCAATTTATCCTTCATCTCTTCCCATATACCAAAGAAGACCCTTGTGATCCAAACTGACTAAATGACTTCTCCTGATACTCCCCTTATCCTGAGATACTTGCTACACATACTAAATGGAGATGGTAAACTTTAAGAGGTTAAAAAAAATTAAAAAAAAAAAAAATCTGGAAAAAGAAAATACCGAAAAAGGTCAATATGCCACTTTTCCTCCACCTTCTCAGGCCCAACTTCTCAGACTCCATCAGAGCCTCCCTGTCAGTACCAAACTGTGATGGACTTGGCCTAAAGTGGCCAACAAAATAACAACATTGAAAATAAGCTTAACATCTTTAAACTTCAAGAATAAAGGAAAATAATTTTCTTTTGATTTCCAAATACCAGTGAAACATCAGTTATTACTCAGAATCCACTCTACTGGCATGAGGATGGCCATAATTAGTGAGCAAAAATTTACTGTTAGAAACTAGTATTTCCAACCAAGTAGATTAAATTAAATATATTTTTGGCAGTTATAACAGAGAGTGATTTAGCTTCTAAGTGACATTTGTAGTATATTTATTATTACCATCGCTGTACAAGGTAATACAAAAGTGGGTGGGGAGAAATGGAAGATTAAAAAAAACATTGTGAAAGGTAGGTATCAGTTTTTCTATGTAGAAATCTGCCCAAAAGCTCAGTAAAGCACATCCCACAGTCTGACAAGGCCTCTGCATTTTTAATCAGGCCTCCTATTAGTTATTAGAGGACATATAAGGAACTTGAATATACTGTAAGCCAGAAGTCTTATGTTGTAATGAAACAATGTCATATTCAGCAGCTTACTTCAGTAAGCCTATCACTAAACTTACTTCAAAGAATTCTCGTGTACTGTGATTTCAAAAGAGAGGTGAAAATAATAAAAAGCCAAATTCATTCAGACTTGAAGCCAGTAAGCTCCAAAACCATAAATAAAAAAGCATATCCTGACCCAAAGCATAAGTTCTCTGGCACTCCTAACACAGACCTGCTGGAAAAAGACTGATGCTGGTTCCTCACAGAGTAGGCAACACTTCATCTGCCTTATCATCTTCAAAAAAAGTCATTTCTGTATGGATCTCTTCTCTTTAAAGAACTAAAGAATTAGCTATTTTAGTTTCCGGCCACCATACAGAGTATCCATCTAGTCATGTGATATGCTATTACATAGTAATGCAATTATTGGAAATTAATTACATCAAATGGCTTCCATGAGAATTACTCCACACATAACACAATTATGAATATTTCTGCAGTGCCAATAAATATGGAAGATACTCTGTGTATGCTGATGTATTTTATATACTAATCCCTTGCTACAACCCATTCATTTCTAAAAATCTCTTTATAGAAGACAGCTCTGCACTTAGAGTGTTTCGGCTCACTTCCATTACACCACATAATGATTGCCAAATAATACAAATGATTGCATGCAGAAAGTAAAATACAGAATTAAGGGTATAACAACACACTTAACTCTGCTGGAGTGGGTGTTGAGTTTTGGGTTTTCTTTTTTAAATCAAGACTTGTTATATTTCATGATTTGATGAGAACTTTTGGTACAGTATGAAAAGCAAATGAATCTGAATAACTGCATTGAACTAGATTGTAGATAATTTACTTCAATCACTATATCTGAAAACAATAATCAGTACCCTAACAAAATAAACAAATGACCATTTGTTATTTTTAGTATATATTCTTCACTTTATCATTTTCTCTCTAAATTCAACCCATCCCACTACAGCATGCAAAGCAATTCAAGCTCAAGTTTCCTTATCAAAAGTAACAGCAGAAAAAACACACCTGAAGAACACATTAATGAAATTCTTTGCAGTATATAAAAGGCTTCTTACCTGGATTCCTTGAAAACTGCTTTTCCCTTAACAGGGTAACTGGTAGAAGTACTAGTATCCAGTTAGTAGATGAGAACATAAAGAGTGGCCACTAAAAACATGCCAGTTCCAGGACAATATGTCATAAATCCTTTCATGACCATTCAGGAACAGTGTGGCCAGCAGGAGCAGGGAAGTCATTCTTCCCCTGTACTTGGCACTGGTCAGGCCACACCTTGAGTCCAGTACTGTTTTGGGTACCCCAATTTAAGAAGGTAAAGATTAAATTTATTTTATTTATTTTATTAGATTAAAATTAAATTTAAGAATTCCAGACTCCAACAAAGGACTTTTACATGCTCAAATGTGTCCAGAGAAGGGCAGCCAGGCTGATGAAGGGTCTGGAGCAAAAGTCCTGTGAGGAGCAGCTGATGGAGCTGGGGTTGTTTAGCCTGAAGAAAAGGAGGCTCAGGGGAGACCTCATCACTCACTACAACTGCCTGAAAGGAGGCTGTAGCCAGGTGGGGACCGGTCTCTTGTCCCAGAAACCAGCAACAGGACAAGAGGACACAGCCTCAAGCTGCACCAGGAAAGTTTAGACTGGATATTAGGAAGAAGTTCTTCACAGAAAGAGTGGCTGGACATTGGAATGGGCTTTCCAGGGAGGTGGTGGAGTCACCAGCTCTGGAGCTTTTTAAAAAAAGAGTGGACGTGGCACTCAATGCCACGGTCTGGTTGACATGCTGGTGTTTGGTTATAGATCAGACTCAAAGGTCTTTTCCAACCTAGTTAATTCTGAGATTCTGTGACTGGTTTTTTCACCATTCTTCCACAGCTGCACATAATCAGCTGCTGATTCCCACCTTCTCCTACATGAACCACCTGGGAACCCAGCACACCTGGGGCCTTTCTCCCCATCACCCATTCCAGCAGCCCTGCCCTCACAATATGACAGCTGCTCTTATAAAACCCCATTTCCCTCTTTGTTTCTTTTTACTGGTGCAGCCACAGAACTCTAACAGACGTTGCCAAATCTTGTGTAACTCATGACACTCCCAGCCTCCTACACACACCTTCCAAAATATCCAGGTAGCTGAAAAAGAATTATAAGAAGTAACAGAATAAAATATTAGACCCCTTATTTTTTTTATATTAATGAAAAAACCAGATAAAAGCCCTCAGTATTCTCTGATTTCTACAGCATCCTCTTTTAAAATCATTGCACATAAGGGGAAAAACCTTTTGCTGATTTTGTAAGGTCTATTTCTAAGAAAATGCTGAAAATGAGCCCATTCAATGACCTTCACTATCAGAATCTTAAAATTCTTCACAACTGTTCTTCCCTTGTAAAAATGACAGAGACTGCAGTAACACATGCAATGAAGAAACCAAACTTCCTTTTTTACATGCTAGTAAGTTAAACCATTTTCCCTTAATTAGTCCAAGTGAAAACTGCACAAACTCAAAAAGGAAGAACTTCTATCATCATAAATGTAACATGATAACTGTGGTGTGTTTCTAGTTTCAGAACAATGGACTGGATGCACTTCTGGGACAAACCAAAACTTGTCCCCAAAACAACAAAGCCAGGGCTACAAATGAAACAAAATGAGACCTGGACTGCCACTCAGAAAGGTGCTGGTTTGAGAATGGACCAGCCTTTACTTTTAAAGCTCGGAAAGAAGGGAATTTGGCAACACTAATGCCAAAAGACAGTTCACAGATCTGTTCTGAAAAGCACTTCTTCATACTACCTCCTTCTTCTGGATCGCTCAGCTCCTAGGGGGGTGGGAGGCCCACAGTCAAAATATCCCTACTCAAAAAACATCTGGAGCATGAAGATAAGCAGAGACATGCTTACATGCCACTGCTGACTGGAAACCACTGCTCAATTTAGCAAAGCAATTAAGGACATGATTATTCAGAAGTGAACTTATATCCGAACCATCTGAACCCTCCTTATGCTCATCGTTAAATAGATCCTTAAGAAGTTACGTGAAAGAAGTCATATGGAAGTGTTTTTTTAAAAAATTATTTACAAGCAAATGTGTAGGGCTAGCTGTCAAAACAGCTAGGAAAAAGGAAACAAAGATGTCACATGCAAGTAAATCTAAAGAGTCACAGTTTTTGCATTGGGAACATAAGAAAAATCAAATCATGAGCCAGGATGATGAATTTTCACATGAATACCGAGATCATCTTTTGACAAAACTGTCATCCACATAAGATTTTATTTTCAGTCTACTAAGGATTTTGATATAGCCTCAGTATTTTGTGCAATATGCAAGACCACCACGTGTGTGACAATTTGAAGCACTAATGCTTGGATTGTCTTCAGGTGAGCATTACCCAAACAGGTCACACTGAAAATTCCCTGCACCAGGAACAAATCAGCTGCTTACTGGTAGGAGCAGTAACTAATAAAAATCTGTTTTTCTGTTTTGGATAACATTTTCCATGCAAGAGCTTCTATTGCTACTTATAACCTTTTGTATTGGTTTCTCACTAATAAAGCAAAATGGGTGCAAAAGATGTCCAAAATAGTTTGCATATGGAGAGTTTGATAGGTGGGGAACCCGGTCTAACAGAAAAGGGATTTTGATACTAAAAAATCAGTCAAGTTAGAAGCATCTGTTTTGAAGATGGAGGGAGACAGGACACAGAGACCACTGTGGAAAATCTGTTTACAGCTCTAACCCCCAGGTGTCTCCTTCTACTAAACAGAAATGATAAGAACTGTGAAATACTTGTGGAAGATAAAGTGCTGCTGCTTGAGTCAAGTTTAAAAGCAGCATTGGTGGGGAACATGGACACAGGAAAAATTTTAAGAAGTCACAATGCAGCCTAAGGAAGTTGGGCTGGGTACAGGCACGAAGACCTACCATGAAGGGAAGGTACAGCATAATTCTCTAGATTCTGGAGGCTGTAGAGTGAATCAGTTGGATAGAAAAGCTGGAGAGTTGAAAGTCTTTTTATTGTCTTCTTTATATTCATTTGTAGAAAACATTCTGTCATTTTCTTATCACAGACTTCAAGCCTGTGTTGTTGGTTAGCAGGTAATGCTACAGTTTTAATGGCTTGAGTCAGCTGGAATCTTTAGTAACAGAAAATGAAAATATAGCAACAGGCTCCTTGTTTTACTCTAACACTTCATCTCACAGGCACAGAAAGCCTGTTCACTACATCAAGCAATAGAACACATTGGATTTATGCTGCATGCCTCCTGAAATTAAAGGCATCTCTAAAGGGAGGTCAGTTTTAAAAAGACTCAAAAAGAGAAGTTCAATCCCTTTCTTTGCTTCCCTCCAAAGGACTTTGTGGAAATTTGGTCAGGAGAGTTACACAGAGGGCCATCAACTAGGATGAGATGGCTTCAGTTCAAGACCTGGTCATATTAATTGGGAGAAAGCATTTAAAGTTAAAAAATCAAAGTCACTTAAATTTTAAAAGGCCAAAACCTATTAGGTGTCAAAAAGGGTCAAACACAATAGAGAGAACTCAACCATCACTATGTAACGGAGGCCTCTTCAAAAGCTTCTTTTAAATTCACTTTCATTCAGCACTTGGTACTGATATAACAGACTAGAATGAGGGACTGGAAAAAAGGCCACTTTGCAAAACACCCCCCTCACTCCCTGGGAAGGAACACCCTGAAATACTCCAAGCATTTGCACATGAGCAAGTGGGTCTTGGAACTGAAAAGCAACACGGGGTCAAACTTGTAGGAATTCCGAAGGAGCAGGGAGGGGCAGGGGAGTCCCGTGGCCCACTGTGGTTTTTGGGATGGCTGCTGCAGGTCTCTGCATCTCTCACTGAAGCACTAAAAGCACCTTTCATAATGGGTTAAAACATTTGTGTAAGCCCGTGCCAGGCTCTTGAAAACCACCTTTTCTCACTTGGATTTTACACAGGGCTCTTATCCTGGCTCTAGCAAGGGAAGACCAGCTCTGTGGCTGGCAGCACTCTGCCTGATGTCAGGGAAGTTCCTGCATCTTCTTAGCTCTCCCAACACCCCACTGGCAATGCTATTCATCTGGGATCAGGCAACTCAGAACAATTTATGGAGCAATTGCAGGTATTTTCACTCCATTATTTACACTCTGCTCCAGGCAAATCATGGCAATAAAGAAAAAATTTCAAAGGCACCACGTTTGCGGGGAGGAACCTTGGAGGGAAGAACATGGGAAATTACCACTTCAAAATCCTGTGTCATGAGCAGTCTCTCCCTTTATCTGTGCATCTCCATCCAGAATACAAGAATATTGCTAGTTGTTTAGCTTTTTTAATGATGTTTTAACAATTAATGTATTAGAGTGTTATTTAAGTGTTACTAGAGGTAAGAACAGGCCATGGGAGACAAAAGAGCACATGTGAAGACCTGACTAATTCCTTTGAAAAAGAACCATTTGGACTATGTAGTTTAAAGCTAGCAGAGCAGAATCACCAGAGAAGGCTGAGCAAATACACAACAAAAAATATTTGGACAAGAAGCAAAAGAAAACAGAACAATAGTACCAAGACAGAAGCATTTACTTTTCAAAGCAGTGAAAATATAGAGAATAGGAAAGACGGGGGAAAAAAAAAAAAAGAAGTAAAATAGGCAGGAAGAAACAAACATAAAGGAATAGATAAACTTTATTAGAGAATAGGGAAAAAAAATAAAGGACAGAAAAATAAAACTAAACAACATGCTGCAAACAGAATTCAGTGTAAATGTGCTTCCATTTGCTGAACTTCCTAGGAGCAGAAACCCAGGGATTTTTACTTGGAATCTGGCCTTGGGTAATACAGGAGGGAGTATCTACAGGATAGATCCTACAGGAGATTCTACAGGATAGAAGCTGCACCTGACTTAGATTAGGAATTTGCTTTACATCCAACCTGAAGTTAAAAGCAGGAAAAGTGGATCAGATCTTTCAATTTTGATATTTTTCTAACACACACCTCTTTCTGAGGTTGAAACCCAGGTCAGTTAAAAGGCTGTTAATGTCTTGGTAGAATCTCTTTCATTAAAATTTGGAGCAAAAAGTTCTTAGTAATCAAAAGATGAGAACTTGGTACTGGGAAAGGAAATGGCCAGGATGACCTGTCTTCCTGAGTCCTTCTCTTACAAGGAAATCTTAGCACAGATTTTTGCTGGAGGTTCTTTGACAAACAACTGTGATCTATTTCAAAATTATCTTCAAGTAGCTATATATTCAAAGAGAAAATCTGTATTGGCCCCTGAGGTCCTTGAACTTCAGATTATTTTGTTTTATTCACTTTTATTGGACTGAAATTTTAAAGGAGATTGACAGCAATTCAGACTGCAGAGCACAATCTGTGTTACATGAGTCAGGAAGTCACGCAGGGAATTTTTTATAGAAGCAGGGTAGACCTGAATTTTGGCACCTTTGGGTTGGCTGGCAGGCCTTAAGGGAACAGTGGCACACTTTAACCCATGGATTCTGGCTTGCACTGGATGCTTACACAGCCCACCCATGTAGCCAACGTTTAATTTTGCATATTTCAGCTGATAACACACTTTGGTGTATAAAGCCAACTGTATTAGGATTTCCAGCTATCTGTCACAAGACATGTAGGTCACAGAAACTCAGTGTCAGATAAAAGGAGCTAAACCTGATCTCTCTTTTGTCTCACAGATTACAAGCTATCCCAGAGTCTAAAAGAAGATGTGTAATTCCTGATTATTCAGGACTGCCAGGAGTATCAGTTTCTTACACAAAGAAACACCTGGCACAAAATAAACCTGAATAAGTCTGATGTGAATATTTTTTTAGAGGACTTCCTGAGCAATGTCTTCCCCATCTGTTCTTCCAGAGCGATGGGAAGCTTTGAATCATACTTAAAACTATTATTTAATTAAGATGATAGACTAAAATAATTGCCTACAGAAAGCTTCTCTCCAAATTGCACATGGCTTAAAACCTGATCCTTTACTCACAGACAAGGTCCCCTTGATGGTGATTCAGACATGCACCAAACAGATTCTCCTGCCATATAGAGGCACACCTAGAATTAATACAGAAGTTCAAGCTTGTGCAAAATGTGGCTGCTCAGAAACACTCAGCAGCCTTTCTGCAACTAGAAGGGATCAATTTGTTTCACATTCCCTCATGGATATTATCTAATGCTCCCAGTAGATTCCAGCCCAGGTTTATTCAAGCTGAAAATCTCAATCCCAGTCTCCAGGGCTGTCCCACAGAACAAGTCCTACCTTTGTCACTCAAGGGCTGCCTTTCCTGGGGGCTCAGCAGCCTGTAAAGCCCTTTGGTGGCTGCACCATACCATTCTTGTTTGGAAGGATTTGTCAAAGGTATTTTTTGAGTCTGAACTCCTTTGCAGATTCCCCTGCCAAAAGCACACTTTCACAATATGTGGCACAAAATTACTATTCTCCAAGCTTGGATTTCCTTACCTAGGGAACAGAGCAAACTCAAATAGCAACTGAGAGAACGTAATTTCCTTAAGTAATATTTAAATAGTGTTTTGCAAGAATAAAATTGCAGTATTCTAAGTCAGATGAGAATAATCAACCTATTTCTATATTTAGCTCACAGAAAAGGTTTTTAACTTCTCTAGGTCTATTTCACATGTCTGGACACAGAGATCTAAATGACCTTGACATAAAAAGAGAATTTTCAACAAAACATCATTTACCAAACAATAAAAGCTGCTAAATTCAAAGGGAACATCAACCACACAATTGGTTTAAGTACACTATGCAATTTCCCTTCCTAAATTTTGGCTTGAATACCATTTGACATATTTCCAGCAAAAGGCAACAAAATTAATTCTCTACTTGTGCCCTGCACAAGCTACGTGATTTACTCAGAGGGAATAGAAGTTTTCTCAACGTGTTTGATAATGGACCACTTCCATCAATCACCATGGCATTTTCCTCCTGTGTCTTCCTGTGAAGTCTCTGAATGATCCTACTTCCTCTCCATCCAAAAGGCAACACGAGTTTTGTTTAACCTCCCTAACCATAAAACACAGCTCTTCTGTTAATCTGTCATCTACTAA